ATAAGGACACAGGGCAAAGGCTGCTGCTGACTTCTGGAGTGCAGACCATCATGAGAGAGCAGCACCTCCCAGGGCCGAGGGAGGTGATGGAAACGGGACTCGCTATGGAGTCCCTGAGGCCGTCACCACCTTCAGGACACCAAAGGGGAAGATGAGGACGAGGATCTGGGCAGGGCTAGCCAGGTGTGGGGGGCGGGACAGCGGGGCCATGCTGCCTCCAGATGGCAGGTGCTGGCAGCAGCAGGGCCAGGACAGAGAATGCAGGTAGGGCCAGGGTTACATGGGCAGCCTGGTACCCGCAGTGCACACAGACCATTGATTGCCCAGTCCCCGGGGAGGTGTACTCTGAGTTAAACAGATTCACCCCTCCTCAAAAACCAGAGCCTTCTCTCATCTTGAAAATGTACATGGGTTGTTAGGGGCCACCACGAGGTGAGAGAATTTGATGTCACTTTAAACTTATTAGTTTTTCTAAAAGGACTGTACTTGTAGGAAGACTACAGCTAAAAGGGTTTTCACCCTACTTCATGACACCAAAACCTAAGCTCTGTTTCTGGATAAAAATGTATGTTTTAAGCCCATAAATGCAGGGGTGATCTCCAATCTATATAGTCAGGACTGCAAAGGCCATGAGTACAGATTTAAATTATTTTACCAACATGGACTAGAAGAACATAAAGAATATTTCTGTGATACCCACCAGTGAGACGTTACCGATCTGCTGGGGAGATGGATCTAATTATAGTCAATTATTTGGACTGGGAAAGGATCTGTTATAAAGAGGGATGAAGGGCAGCAGAGCGGTAACCAGGGTGCACTGTGTCCCCCGTGCCTGAATCATGGGACCACTTGCTGATGTGGGGACAGTGATTTCATCACAAAGTAAACAGACTGCTTTCTGCCACCTCAATCTCTTTCCTCTGGACTTCTTGCCTCTGTACTAGGGTCTTCTTGGTGACCTTCCTATTGGGTGGCCCTCACCCAGAAGCTAGTTTTGAAGCTCATGTATTACAGCTGCTCCACCATCCACCTGGCACGTGTGTAGCCATATACACACCTATATATCCATACACCAATGTATCTACACACCCATCCATGTACCACGTATGCATGCATGCACCCACATACCCATCCACACATCCAAATACACGTGCATCATGCATGAGTGAGTGTGTGGGAGATGTGCTCATCCAGACATCTACGCATGGACTGACATACCCACTCATGCAGCCATGTACCCATGTATCCATCCACACACCCATCCACACAGCCGGGCGTGCACCCTGCACTTACCCCACACCCCCATCATGCAGCTATGTCACCATTTGTGCATTTACCTACCCACCCATCCATTTATCCAATAGACACATACCTCGCCACCTGCCAGCACTGTGGAATTATGCTGTCCCCACATAAGTCCACTGTTAAACTGACTTAGGTCCCTACTTCACACCTGTAGATACTGAGGCGGGCAGGCCAAGGACCCTGCCCTGGGTCTGACTATTAATGAGAGGCAGAAATGGGCAGACTGTGCAGTCTGCACGGTGGCTTTGATGCAGGGTCCTCCCTGCCCTCAGTGCCCTCTCATCCTCCTCATGGCTCGGGTCCTGGAGACTTCCATGAACATTCCTCTGGCCCAGCCTGTGCCAGCCTTTTCCAGCACAACTTAAAATTTTAGATTGGAGGCATCACCTATTTACTCCATGCCCTATAACTGGATGGCACATTACAAAAAGGCAGAGGCTATCTCTTGATCAGAGCTCCATCTCACACTGCATTCCATCCAGACAGTCCTCGCCATGGTGGACACTCAGGACACCATGCTGACGACAAGCTGAGTCAAAGAGCCCCAGCCAGCAGCGCCTCCTCCTGAAATATCCTTAGCCCTAAATGTTTACTTTTTATTATCATTAAGAAGTCTTTTGAGAGTTTGATACTAGTTTGCAAAATACTTGATACTCAGTTGCAAGATAGTAACACTGAGCTAATTTTTTGTTAATAATTTTTTGAAGATCTACTAGAAGATACAATATGCAGTAGAACCTCCCTACACTGACCACCTCCCTACACTGACCACCTCCCTACACTGATGACTGCCTTAAGCTGACCTGACTTTCACAGACTGAACATGCATCCCATGTACTCAGGGGAGGACCAACCCCCCCCATTCAGAAGCAAGGACTTGAAAAATTAGGGGAGCATCTCATTTAGGGGCATTCCCCAGAAGCTGAGCATGCCCGTCCCACGCACATCTATCTGTGTAGAGCTCAGCTCCCCACCCACACCAGGCTGCAGGGAGGCTGCAGAGGGGTGTTGTCCTGGCTCATGCTGCCTCAGAGAACAGAGAAAACAGACCGTGTGACAAGCTATCGCCGCCCATTCCTACATCAACCCAGCCACCATGCAGAAGTGGGCACAAGGAAACAGTGTTCAAGGACGAATTACTCCCTGTGGCCATACTGTAGTCAGTGTTGGAATCCAACCCATCTGAACTTTGAGACTGACAGAGCAGATGGAATGAACTAAACACATCTCTTTCCTCTGCTCCATAATCTCTTCACTCAAGGAGGTGGGTTTGGAGAATAAGAAAAGAGAACAAACAGGGCCACCAAGGCACTGTGGCTAGGAGCAGGAAACACTCGCCAGCCACCCCACAAAGCCCCAGCCCCCCACTAGACCTGAGATTAAACTCAGCTTCTGCTCATCAGTCTCTCTGTCCCCCACACTTGATCTCTGTTTACAGGCACAACGGGCACGACATAGTTGACGTGAACAATTTTCCTGACCTAGGAGGTCCTCCCAGGCTTGGGGACATTTTAAGAATTCAATTAGAAAATTTCTAACAAGAACACTGTGTCCAGAAGCACAGGCTCCCCCTCAAAGACGTGTGGCCGTGTGCACAGCCGAGCAGGTGGCCCCCAGGCCTCCGCAGGCAGGAGCGTCCTGTGTGGTCAGAGGCAGAGGCGCAGAGTCCTGCCTCCTTTGTGCTGCCTCCACCCTCCTTGACAGCAGCTATTTATTTCGACGGCTGGTGGAAGCCGCTCGCAGGTGAAGATGAATGAGCACAGATGGAGACACAAGGCCGCCCTCTGCCTCCGCGGGTCCCTGGACCCCATGGAGCCCCCTAGACCTCCCCTGAGCCTGCTAATGATTATAAATGGCAAAGAATCTCCAATTTAATTGCGAAAGGTAATGATGCAGTGAGCATAAGATTAGATTCACCACAGAAGGCAATATCCTCAAACAATAAAAAAAAAAAAAAAAAAAAGAAGCTGGTATGAAGACGGCTGCAGTCGATAGGAAGGCTTCGGTGTTAAATGCCGCGGTGGAGGGTCACAAAATGATATTGACAGAACTGCTGACGGCAGATAAAAACGGGACAGGAAACCGAATTGATCTCTGAGAAAATAAGTTACAGATTAATCACCCTACCATGAAATCCTTTTGAGATGACTTAGGGTCTGAAGATGTGTCCACAGTTTGACTACGGCCTGGGACTGCAAAGTTGGAGCAGGAGGATTCTACCCTCCCTCAGGGTTGGGGCTGGAGGCCTTTTTCTTCCTGGCTCCCTCCCCACAGGGAGAGGACAGTAACTGTGCAGACGGCCACTGGCTCTCCTGGCACCAGGGATCAAGGCCTCTGCCCCAAGGGTCCCCAAAGCTGCAGAAGCCTGGCATTTTAAATTGTCTACAGTTCTGCAGGAACACCCTGCTAACATGCATGTGTAGGGGAGTGGACTGGAGAGGGCTGCCCTCTGACCATGACCGAGACTTCCTGCCAAGCTTCCCAGGAGGCAGAGAGGAGGAACTCACCTCCCCCATGGACTCAGGGTGGGATTCAGAGGGTTGGGGGCATGCATTGCATTCCTGAAAAGTTTCCTCTTTTATTTTACAAGTTGGTATAAAATTTGCTTCTACTGTAGGATGTGGAGATATACCCTATTTTTGAATTTTTCAATAAAAATAATGATTTTTTTCCCTAAATATTATTGACAGTCTAGGAAAATTGACCAGCACTTAATTTCACATTAAAAGCTTTGACCATTCAGACGTTTAAAACTTTACCAAGACACTTAATATTTTTAAATTTTAAAGTCTCACTTTTGTGGCACAAATAATGATGAATCATCATTTATGCTATCTCTTCAACCCAGAAAGGTGAAGAAAGGATTTATTCAGATTGTAAGACACCATGAGAGAACAGAGCTTAGCAAACATCACGGGCAGATACAGGAGGCCACCCAGGAGAAATCTGACAGCAGACGCATCCGCACTGCCTCGGCCCTGTGCAGACACCCAGCCCAGCCTCCAGAGACAAATGACATCATGTGCCCCAGCACTTCAAAGTTCTTGCTTTTTCTCTTTTCTACAGTTGTTTTTGTGACAAAAACAAATGTAAGGAAATTATGAATGCATGAAAAAAACACATTTTAAAAGAGAAAATTTTAAGAAATCAAATATGAAAAAATATATTAATATTTATTCTATGAAAGAGAGAAGTATTTGAAATGATACATATTTGAAAGCAAAACTCATTCCAAAGAAAGTAAATGCTAAAAGTTAATTTTATAACTCAGACAAATACACAAAAAAGCCAGTCAACACCATGAAATTAATACTACATAACTACTCCTACTTCAAGGTGTGTTTTTAACCAAATATACTTTAAAATCCATTCCTTAGAAGGGCAACACACTTGAAACAGAAGACTATGCTTTAGATACGACACCTCCTGCCCTGGACAGAGTGTGAGGAAAGGCAGGTGTTTTGTCCACTGCTGGGCTCCCCACGGCCTCTTGCGTGGCCCTGGGCAATGTCTGCCCAGCTTTTACCTGAAAGACCCTCAATTCTGATTCATGATTCAGTATGTTCATCGATTATTTCATAATTAATACCAATATTCTAAACAAGTGTGAATCGAGTTGTGTATTCTGAATTTAGCCTAAAGGACCCGTTTAAAAAACACAAACAACAAAAATCTCCCTGACTCTCCCCACTTACCACAGCCTGGCTTGAGCTCTCCTGTAGGTCCCACAGCAGGATGTGGTTGTCAGCCAGCGAAATGACCTTCTTGCCATCTCCCATTGGCTCCCAAGTGACACTAAGAGAGGGGAGTGTCAAACATTAGTACGGACATCGCAGTCCCCAAACCGCCAGCCACCGGCTTTTACCATTCCTTATAATCCAGCAAGCTCTGCTCCTGCTCCACAGTCACTACAAAGACTCACTGGCATTATTACCTGATGATGCTTGGGGTGGACACTGTTTCCACTGCTGTGGAGTGAGCTATGTCCCCCCAAATTCATCTGTGGAAGGCCTATCCCCAGTGTGATGGTACGGATGTTCCCCCAAGTGATGTCCCAATAACCCCACTGGAAACTGAAAATACCATAGGCTGAAAATGCATCTAAGACACCTGTTAAATTAAGTTTAATCCAAAGCTGCCTCCTTATGTCTTTTAAATTCAAGGTTTCTCTGAATAGAACAAACAGACCAACCTGTTCCTGGTAACAAGTATCTGAGTGTCCACTCACAGCAGTCACTTCAACTGCTCACGGTGGCCGACTGTTGAAACCGTGTTCCCGTAAGGCAAACGCCGAGCTCTAACAGTTCAGCTACCTCTGCACCTCACTGCTGCCTGCCGGTGTCACTCTCCTTTTTCTGCCCAGAAAGTCTTATGGACCAAAAGGCAGCACCAGAGTTGCCTAGAACTCTATATTCTGTCTGGTTCAGGGGACTGCCCAATTTGAGAATTGTTCTTTTTGCTCAGTTAAACTCCATTATATTAAGTTGTCTGAAGTTTTTCTTTCAAGACGCCTAACCTACTGAAAACATCACAGCTTAGGCAAGCCATGCTCAGAACACTCAGCCTACAGTTGGGCCAAATCATGTAATACAAAGCCTCTGCTATGATGAAATGTTGAACAGCTCATGTGATTTATTGAATATTGTACTGAAAACAAAAAGCATTTCCTTATGTTTGGGCCAACCTGAGCCATAGTTTTCATCACCTGCAGCCAAAACCATCCATACTGATGTGAGGCATGTTTGAATAATTAACAAAAGGCCCCAAAACGTGTCTCTGTGGTAAGGTCAATGAAAGATGGAAACTTTTTTCAACTTGGTCACAAATATGGGCTTTGTCTTCCCAGATGAAATTCTAGAAGTGTTTATTCATAACAAAGAGAACTTCCTTCCACGGGTCTAACACCTGAGTGACTGAGGGGTCAGTGGGGAGCAGCTTCCTCTCTCTCCAGACAGGACACAGCTGATCAGGGCTTGCTCAGGCATTCTCCCTCACACCATCGTTTCAAGCCCATCCGTGGAGCTGTTGTTACTTTTAACCATAACACTGATATTCAGTAGAACCTCTGTCGGTTGACCACCCAGGAGACTTTTAACAAACTCGTCAATATACAGAGGGGGTCAGCAGAAGGACCAAGGCCTTCTAGGTCCAGTGTATGAAAATTAGCTCAACCTAAGGAGGTGGCTGGTGTGGGAGGGGTCAGCTGTCAGCTGGGGCGGTCCTACTGTGATTCAAACCCACAACTTCTTTCTCATTACAGTTTAAGTAACACACAGAAAGCTCACAGAGCTGTGATGACAGGTACACATCTCCTATATTAGACAAAGAGTTTACTGACTGTTTTCTAATGGAAACAGTAAAAACACCACAGCTAAAAGGATGCCGGGAAACCTGCTCCCCAGTCTGCTGCCCCTGAGCAGTTAGGACAATGGCCAGTTCTGATTCTGAAGATGCTTCCTCAGAGCAAGATGGTCACACGTGTCTGGTAGTCTGTTTTGCAGGTAAAGGACAGGGCTCAGCAGGTCCACACTGGCTCCCAGGGAAAAATGGGACATGGGACAAGGAGGGAGGGGGCGGCTCACAGCTCCTGTCCTGGTGCAGAGGAGGCACTGAGCCGTGCGGGGCATTTTCTACACGCCAGGGCAAGGAATCTAGATGGCTCCTTACCAGGTCTCACCAGTAACCCAGACCCCTCACAAAATTTAAAAAAAAAGTCCTAAGCCCACAGTAACCACAGGGATGGTGACCACTCACACAGTGCTGGCAGGACGCAGCCTAAAGGCCACCCCACAGCACTGGAACTTTCATCAGAAACTCCAGAAAGCTGGACATTCCCCACTAACACCCAAATGGCAGGATAAAGGATGAACCCATCTGATGTCAGAGATCAACCCCCCAATCACGCAGCCCCTTCTCGCTCCCACAGCCCGGCTTTAACCACACAGACACTAATCTTGGCGGCCTTTCCCGGTGCCATGAATATTTGACTAAGGTTTCCCCAGCCAGAGGAAAGGTTTCTGAAGTGCTCATCCAATTTATTAAAACTCTCGTATTCCCCACGATGACTAGGAGCCTTTGGGGCACATGACAATTAATGTGGGCAGAGGAATTCCAGGAAGAGTGGCAACACATCATAAAAACGAGGCCACTTTCATAAACTTAGTTAACCGTTAGTGCTTTTGGGTTTGGAGAAGAGCCAACAACCCTAGAATGAGAGAAAAGTTTAAGGCTTTCAAATAATCAAACCCACGTGCTCACGCCCAGGCACGCACCACCACGGGTCAGGGATCAGCACCCTCGAGCCCTGCCTCAGAGGCCACCTGTGCCCTGTGATTTGCCCACAGTCCCAACGCATAGGGGTGTCGGACTTCTAAGGCTACGGGAAAACCAAGCTGGGGCTGTGAGGGTGGGTGACTGTCACAGAAGCACGAGCAATACAGCGAGCTATAAAGGGCGACTACTTGAGAGCAGTGGGGGGAAGGAAGGAAGCAAAGCCACAGGAACTTAAGGGGCACAGTGATCTGGGGTGATCTGCGCTGGCGGACTTGGAGCAGTGGTGTGCCCGCTGAGGCCTGCACACAGCTCGGGGGAGTCGCCGTCTCACTCTCCACCAGGAAGCGCTGGGTGAACTCAGTGAGCTCCAGCTAAGAAGTGGGAAGGATCAAAACATGTTCTAGAAATGTTTTTACCTAAATGCTTTTTTGTTTAAGTCTGACATTTAACTTCACTAAACTTCAGTGATTAAGACAACTCAGGGTTTTTAGGAAAAGTAACCCCAGACATTTTTTTTTATTTACAAATAAAGAAAAATTTAAAAAGGATAACCCTTAAGATTTCTGATACCTAAGTTTTAAGTACAATGTTTCAAATAAGCTGAACTACCCCCACCTACAAACACTGTGCAGACAGGCCTACATCAGACCCTGCTGCAGAGTCAAGGATCTTAGGTTACCCTCTGAGACGGAATGTGACACCACGGTGATAGGCAGGTCTATCCTGACAAGCTAACAAAGTTTCATGCCCAGACATTGAGAAATCAGGCATTACAAAAAGGGCTATAAACAGGAAAACACAGCATGGTGCCAGCTAGAAACACAGCTTCCAGGGCACCACCCATCAATCTTCACAGGCTCTGCTCTCAACGCATGACACACCCCACAGAGTGTTTACCCCTTGGCTGAGAAATGCCCTCTTTCCACTCCCTACACTGGGAAAGTCTTACTCCCCCACCCGTCCTAAGCAGAAGATGTCACACTGTGTCAGGAACAATACACTCCCACTATGTTCCAGAGCATTTACGGAGATTTGGGGTTCACATGTGGTCCTCAGTGTATCCTAGTGCAGTTACAGCAAGCCAGGGGAACACCCAGGAACACCCCAGAGCATTTACAGGGAGCCAGGGGCACACCCCGCACACCCAGCACACTCACAGAGCCAGGGGCACATGGACAGCACAGCCTCAGACTGTTCTAGGACATTTTGAAGCAGCACCCATTTCATGTCCCAGGGAGTTGATGGTCAATTCCAGGTGCATGAGTTTCCCAAATCCTCACTTATGCATTTGAGTATCAATTCTGAAGCTATTGGGATTCTGTGACTCACCTCCATGTCCAAACCCAACAGCAAATCTCCCTGCAGACACACCACAGGCAGCAACACCTTCTTGCCCCGGCTAAAAAAAAAAAAAAATGGGTCATCTCGGTCTAGTTTTGCTCAGGCCTGGGGTAAAGGAAGGTGCCGGGCGGGGGCCTGCCTCTAGGAAATCGCAGGGCACCAGGCCGCTCATTTGCTCCTCAGGCAACAGATTTTCCATCTGCCTTTGTATGGGCCAAGGGATACATTTCTCCAAGAAAAAGCTTATATTTCTCAGTTATATTATCAGAGGAGACAGTAAAATGAGTTTCGAGTGGCTGTACAAGTAACTTTTGATATCTGAAAAGAAAAGATGTATTATAATTCGAAAAAGATACACTAAAAAGGCTTAAAAGAGTAGAGGAGGTAACACTGATTTGCTTTAGAAAATAACTTGGCTTTGAGTTCTTACAGGTGCAAGTTTTAAGAAACGTGATTGTGTTCTGAAGGTGACAATGGACATAGTAAGATTTCGGGGAAGGCTGTGCACAACACAGGGACATGGGAGAGGCAAGGTTGTCAGCAGGCAGTCCGTGGAGACGGGGCTGACTGAGTTTCTGGGAGGCCCAGGAGAGCAACTCATCAGACTGACCAACAGCCGGGACCTGAGTGGGACAGGTGTACGGGGAAGGGCCTTTGCAGAGGCCAGATAAGGCATCACCTTGCAAGAGGTCTATGAACCTAGCTACGCTAACAAAGCTTGGTGCACTTCTGGAAGGATATTTGTGGGTGGCTGTATGCTTGTAGAGTCAGGCAGCTCCCTAAACACCCTAAACACACGGGTGCTCTGTGAATCTACGCTATTGTTAAGAGATAAATGTCAAAGCAAAGAGAGGAAGGGGCAGGAAAGAACATCCCAAAGAATCCGAGCATAAGCACATCAGATCCTATAGACATCAGAAGCCTGACACCAGCGAGGTGCGTTCCTCCTCCAGGCAGGGCCAGAACTGAGCCTAAAGTACAGCAAGCAGTTTGCAGAGCACAACACAGAGACGTGGCTTCTGGGAGGCAGTACCTGTCTCCTGCCACTTCACCTGGCCCCCCTCAGGGAATGGGTGAAATGCCACCTCCAGGTAGGAGTCCCATCTGTGAGATAGCTGGGATTGTCCCACATCCTCTGTCCCACACATGGCCACACGAGAGCTGTCACCAGAGCCTGGCTT